CTACTCTTCCCCTTCTCCCTCACTCTGGCCTTGTCATTCCTGGAACAAGTCAGGCCAGCTCCCTCCACGGAGGGCTTCCTACTCGCCCTTCTCTCTGCCTGGGACACTGTTCCCACAGACATGCACAGGGCCCACTCCCTCAACCTCCTGCAAGGCTTTCCCCACTCTTGTCCTCAGGGGGCCGTCCCTGGCCATCCCAGCTCAGAGGACAACCCCTTCCAACGCTCCTACAGCATCCAGGACCCCTGATGTGCCAGATTCCTTGCCTCTGTGTTTCCTGGCTGCTTCTCTCCCTGGAAGAAAGGCTTCCTAACAGCTCCACCGAGGTCTGTCTGGGTCACATCGGGAAGCGCACAAGAACCGAGCCTCTGGCAACTGAGAAGGCGTTCAATAAAGAATGTGCAGTGACTGCTGCAGTCATCTGAGGGAAGATGAGAGCTCGTGAGGCAAGGCGGGTGGGGGAAAGAGCATCTTGGGCAGAGGGAGCAGCCGAGCCGCCCCAAGGCCGGCGGGCACAGGGCACATTGGAAGGAATGACCGGATCGAGTACAGCAGGGAAGGCGAGCGGGAAGCAAGACTGGAGAAGAAGGACGGAGCAGCCGTGCACACACAGAAGGAACGTTTGGGTCTATCTCGAACGGCAACAAGAAGCCAGGAAACTAGGCAGTGACATGAACGAATGGGCCTTCCACAAACCTCTGGCTTCAGGGGGAGATAGGGATTTGGAGGCGGTAGAAGCGCCTGGAAGCTCAGTAAGCAGACTAGAACCATGGCGCAGACCACAAATGACCTTAACTCGGAATGAGAGGGCAAAAGCAGAGGTGGAGAAAAGGAGGTAGATTCCAGAGATGTTTAGCAGATAAAATCACAGGTCTGGGAGAATGATCACACAAGGGGGTAAGGAAGTAAAAGCAGAGTTCCAAGAGGACTCCTCCCTTTTGCACGTGGGAACTGAAGGACACAGTGGCCCGATTCACGGAGTTGGGGGGGGCTGGGGGTGGCGAGGAGGAGAATACAGGAAGGGGATCTTGAGAAGTTTTGGAAAGAATGGATTTGCCATAATTCAGAGACATTGATATACAGATTTCCAGTTGGCAGCGGGAGACCCAGGGAACCGTGAGAGGATCAGGAAAAGCAAAGTGAGTCGCCACACAGTACAGATTCTCACCTTGTGGCTGATGGGGAATCAAAAGGTTTCAAGGAACGCAGTAACAGGAGAAGATGTGGGATTCCAAGAAGATCACCCTGGCCAGAGCAGGAGCACGTGGATGGGAGAGGGAGCTGGATGAGAAGCAGGCAGAACAAGAGGGACCTGCTGCAACAGAGCAGGTAGGAGAAGGGACCGGAGCCAGGGCTGTGGCCACAGGGAAGGAAAGGGGAACAGACCTGCTCTTTGTCAGCAGTGCATCTCCCACGGGGCTCCTGGGGACCGTCCGAAAACCCGGAGCACGTCAGCTCCCCCACTTGACCCCTTGGTCCTCGCACGAGTCATTCTCTGACAACCTCCCCAGAATTCTCTCTTGCTCCCCGCTCCCTGGCCCAATGTCAGGTGCCGATGACACAGCCCTGGGCTTCCACGGCCAGGCTAGTTTCTTCTGCCCTGCAAACACCTATTTGTCTTTTGAAGGCTTCCCCCCTCCACTGGCAAAGAAGCAAGAGCAGTGCTGACATCGAGGAGGCGGCCTGGCACCATGAGCCGGGCTGCACGGCTGGTCGCCGCGGGCCTGGCGCTCCAGGAGACGCCACGTGCTTCTCCGGTTGCACGCAAATGACCTCGCAGAACAGCAGCTTGAGGTGCCGTGGCCCCGGTGATGAAGGGACACCAAAGAGGACCCCTTGCTCTTTTGTCCAAACAGACAAAAACCAGCTTGTCGTGCCCACCCCCAAATGCCAATCCTCCTCTCTCCCGCCTGATACCAGCGAGTGTCTTCCTTGTGAATGACACCGTCCGTCACGCTCTTCACACCTCCTTCTAGAAAACACTGATGGAGCTACCCGATCCCAGAACTGTCTCGCCTCGCCTCGCCTCAGCACCCAGACCAGAGCACACCCCTGCTTCCTTGAACACTCCCAAAAACATCCGCCCAAAGCCCAAATCCTGTAAGTTCTTTCTAACACCCTCTTTCTTACGGATCAGCCCCACAGTCCCCATGACGTGGGTTCCCCCTCAGGATGAGTAACGAAGCCACTGTGTTTAACGACAGCTGTGCTTCCAGTGGCCTTTGTGGAGGATGCTGACCACCGTCACGGGAGGAAGGGATGGTTCCCTCTCCTGGAGGGAATCCTAGGTGTCCTGGGAGGCTAACTGGCTTTCTTAGTGCGATTTTAGGGGCTTTATGGCTGTAACCTAGGGCAGCAGGAACCAGCCTAACCCACAGCTAGGACATAGCTGGAACCAAATAATATTCAGAATGGAGGGAAATCAAGGGGCGCCTCGGTGGCCCAGTTGGTTCAGCGTCCGACTCCTGATTTCACATCAGGTCATGATCTGAGGGTGCCGAGACTGAGCTCCAAGTTGGGTTCCACACTCAGTGTGGATTCTGCTGGAGATTCTTTCCCCCCCCCTTTCCCTCCTCTTCTGGCCCCACGCCAGGGGCATGCACTCTCTCTCTCTCTCTCTCTAAGATAAAGAAGTAAATAAAATCTGTATTTAAATAAATAAATAATGGAGGGAAAGCAAAAGAAGTAAGAATTATTTATGGAAGGCTTCACTCTGTGTCAGACCCGGTGCTAACTGCCTTGGATCTATTGCTCATTTAATCCTTACATCCCAAAGGTGGGCTACCATTTTTATCCCCATTCCAAACACAGGACTGAGGCACAAAGTGATCTGCCCACGATTCACGCAAGGAATCTCTACGTTATTAATCACATGACTTTCTGACAAAGTTTAAGGGTTTAACACACTACAGTGAAGATGCACATCACGGTATCACAGAACTTGGAAGGACAGAGCCCTGCAAAATGTCCTCAAACGTTAACTTATGGATTCTCCCAATCTTCTTGCATGTTGTTCAGATAAAGGAAAGCCCGGTGCTAAAAAGGCTTTCATGAAATGCAACCAGATGACAAATATACGTGGTCTTTAGAGCCCCGGGCCCATCCCAGAAGACTCTGACTCAGTGAGTGTAGAGGAGGACGTGAACATCTCTGTTTTCTTTAAATAGCCCCACAGGCTCTGCTGATGTGCACTCTGGGCTGGGTACCACTGTACTCTCTGCAATTCCAAACCCAAACTTGCCCTACAATGTTTAGATGGCTGCAGACACAGGGGGGCATCGAAAACTGAGGCAAAGAAGAACAGAGAAATTACAAAAACTATCCCCTAGAGAGTCAAGAAAAGGAAAGCTCTAGTTATATTACTTCTCTGTCCTTTGGCTGTGTCTGAATTACTCTACAGTTAACTTACTTTGTTTTAAGTAGGCAAGTTTGCTAAAACGTTTACCAACAAATACTAAATAATCAAGACTACCAATACATTTTAAATAAAATTATACTATGCTACTGAAAAGTATTTTCTGATTATTTCAATGGCACTTCAGAGTCTCTTAGCAAGTAGCAGTCGATATGCGAACATTATTTCTAATTCAACAGTTCTACACATGTGGTCAACAGCACCTGAACACTGGAGAAGAAATGAAGTTGGCTGGAAGGCTTTTAGCTTCACAAATTTCACCACACACTACCGTCAAGTCTTCAATACCAATGTATGTATTTACCTCTTTATTTAATCAACCACCACTAACACCCACTACATGTCAGACAGGGCTCTACGTGTTTCATTAACGTTAAATATCATTTATCTTTACAATCATCTAAGAAGTGGGATTATCATCATCTCCATTTCTCACATCAGGAAACTGAGACCCAGAATGGTTTAGGAACACAGCTCATAAGAGGCAGAGCTCCGATCAGCTTGGCTCTGGACTCCATGTCTTAAATCACTATGTTTAGTCTCCAGGAACCCACAAAAACTGCAAGTCTTAACCCCGAACCTTGGCTTGCCCACCCTACAGTCCCTACAGTCCCTACGTGGCCCCGGCTTCAAGGGCATTCCCTCAATTCCTTTCACAGTTCACACTCCTTCCCTGCTCTAAGTGAACACCCTCCCACATCCCCGTTTTTTTCTTAGCCTTCTGTTCTCAGCTTAAACATTACTGCCTAAAAGACAAACTCGAATGCACCCCGTAGTTCTCAGCACTCGAAGCAAAACGGTAATTATGTATTTCATGGGCAATTATTTGCTTCCAGTCTTTTCCAACCAGGTGGTGATAGGGTAGACGCCGTATCTGTCCTATTTATCCTGGGTTCCCAATCGCTGAATACCCACCCCCCACCCCCCCAAAGAGAAGGGCCTACCACGAAGTACACTCTCAACACTTTCTGTTGAACGAACGAACGAACGAACTACACCCCAGCCTGGGCTTTCCGACACCTATCTGTGCTCACAACACGGCCCCCACTGCACCCCTAGAACGCAGCCTCCTGCGGCAGACACGCAAGAGCTCTGCAAAGTCCTGGCTCTGCGCACCACTACTACGTGCTCCTGGGCAGACCATCCCCCCCGCCCCGCCCCAACACACCTTGACTGACCTGATCTCAGGTGCACAACGGGCACCCTGACGATCCCCAACGGAATGTGACCTATGCAAGAGGAAGAACCTGCACTCCTCCTCCCCTCTCAACGCTAGACTTCCTTGCTTCTCGTCGGGCTTCCATAAGGACTCGAGCCCCAAGGAGGCCAAGACCCCGCCGGCCTGCTGCAGGCCGCATTCCCAGTCACGCTCCCCCCAGGCCTGGCGCACAGCACAAGGGAGGTCATTCTCCGCTCCAGGAATGAAGCCCCGCGCCGGGCACTTCACACGTGCGAAACGAGGGTCGCACGAGGTGACGGCGCCCTTTTGGCGAACGAGCGTGTTCCGGAGACACAGGCCCGCCCCCCACCCAGGCCCCAGGCCCCAGGCCCCCGGGGACGCTGGGTCCCCGCGCCCGGCAGGCACCTCTGCACGGAGAAGCATCTTCGCAAGGGCCGCGCACTCCCTCGTCGTCTGGGTCTGTCGAGGAGGACGAACAGGAGCTGAAAGAGGCCGTCCTCGGACGAGCGCCCATGGCCGTGGAGGTTCCGGGGTGCTGTCCCCACCGAGAACAACGAAACCGGGTCCCCGGGCGCTGGGGGGACGAGCCAGCCTCGGAGAGGGAAGGAGGGCTCGCTTCCGCCGCGCTCAGCTGCCGGGGCTCAGACCCGCCGCTCACGTCAACCGCCCAACAACCTTCCCGCTCATTGGCGCTTCTGCCCAGACGCTGATTGGACAGCTTCCCGCCCGCTCGGCCCGCGGACGCGCCCCTTGGGTGCCTCCTCTGGCCCCGCCCACAGAGCCCTGGGCACCGTCTACCCCTCCTTTCCCGTCACCACCTGGCGGGACCGCCGTCAAAGCCCCGTCTTCCTTCGCTCCTGGTGCTGTTTTCTGAGTCTGGCGTCTGTGTGTTCATCACAAGCTTGAAATGGCTGTAGTCTGTCGCAAGGCCAGCTTTCCCCCCACTGAAGTGCTTTGGCTCCCTTTTCAAAACTCAGTTGAGCGTATTTGTGGGGACTCTTTCTGGGTTCTTTGTTCTGTTCTATTGATCTGTGTCTGTCCTTCTGCAGATACCACACAATCGTCCTTAGTAAAACTATCGCAGAAGTTCTGAAACTGGGTAGACTGCATGTTCCCACTTTATTATTATTTTCAAAATTGTTTCTGAAACTACTCTTCATTCCTTTGTCTATCCACATACACTTTAGAATCATCTTGTCTATCAATCTACAAAAGAAAACAAACCCTGACTGGGTTTTGACAGGAATTGCATTAAATCGATCTATCAATCTGGGCAGAATGAACATCTTCACTATGCTTAGGCTTCCAATTCACAAACATGGTATATCTCTGCATTTATTTATATCTCCGATTTCCTCTATCAGTGCTAACGGCTGTGGGCATGCGAGTGCTGGACATGCTTTGTTCGATTGATCCCTAAGTATAGTTTTACTAGTAATTGTGAACGTATGTTTGATAGTGGAGCCCACATGTTCGTTGCTAGCATACAGCAGTACAACTTTTACATGTTTCTTCTGTATACTGTTTCACTGTGAAATGCCATTAGTAGTTGTAAGAAGGCTGACATTTTCATAACCTCTTGGGGCATAAGGCCTGAAATGAAGATTCCATATTAAGGGCTGTCTTCACACCAGGGACAATCAAGGAGGGACGGAAACAGCCTAATGCAAGTTCTCCTCTCCCTCCTCCCTCACACGTAAGGTCTCCTAAGCAAAAACCCTTCTCATCACAGGGACCAGACATAGTGCCTGTTGATTTGGGGGAGCAGCGTTCAGTTCCCTAGAAGCCCACTGAATTCTTCAAGCAAGCCACTCATACCCTCCCAAGGGAACCAGGACTTGCCCCACCTTCTTGTTAGGACAAAGTCTTGCCTTCCAAGCCCCTGCTTGTTCCCTCTGTTCCCAAGTGCAATTCCTGTGCAGCCCTGCACAGTGTGTGGTATCCTCCTCCCTTGAACTGTGAGAATATGTGACTAGTCAACTGCTGCCAGTCACATCTGTCAGGTGTCAAGGGATCCCTACAAGCCTAGAGCAGGAATCTCTCTCTCGTCAGGGAACTGAGGAGAAGCTGAATAAAAGCAAGTGACATCACAAACAGGGTGGCCCCACCTTAACTGAGGACACGGGGTCAGCTTGACGTGCTCCTTGGCTTCCTAACTGGCTTCAGAGGGGACAATCACGATCTGGGAGGGAACTGGCAACTGCGGGCCAGCTTGTGTGTTAGCTCGTGTTCTGTTAGCTCCAATGGAGGTCGCCATCCGTTTCCAAACCAATGTCCCATCCTTGCCAACAAGTTGAGTACAGATGCGACTTGACTGTACCTAGGAGGGAGGTGCCATCAGTGTGACCTCCATCTGGCCTGTATCGGTCTCCAAGGCTCCCCGCTGAGGTCGGCAACCCCACGACCTGCTGACTGGGGTGCTTGAGTTCCACCGACTGGGTGTTGGGCCAGTGCTTGGGGCAGACAGACAGATCCGGGTGGGGAGAGCGCACCCCACGCACCGTCCTGGGGATGACCCTCTGTGTTGTGGGTGGAAAGGAAGGGGGCCACGACCCCAGGGAGATGTAAGAATGGCTCCCTGGCTGCCTCCTGAGTCACTGTGGGTCAGGCAACGCGAGTGGCCTTGCCCATCTCCCCAGCTGCCGCTCCTCTCCCCGTTACCGTGTGTCCCCCGGAGCCCTCAGGGTTTGGAGGCGCACATCCATGGCAGCCCAGGGCCCAGGAGCTGATGAGAAACACAAAAGTGGAGGGTCGGCCGTTTGGTGCTCCACCTCTCTCCCAGTGCAAAACCCCTCCTCCACACACTTGCTTTCTCTTAGTGTTGTTGCTTCCCAGCGCGTCCAGGGACTCATCTCTGGATCCAGGGCCTTGAGGCTCCCACTCTGGCCATGGACAAAATGACCTTCCTGGCTGTGGACTCCAACACTGGGGAGATGGACTGGCATGCCCGCAGGAAGAGGACAGTCATCTGTGGGGCCGACCCACCCAGCTCCCTTTCCCCATAAACACCCAGAACATGTGCACCACGTCTGAATAGCTGGAGACAGAAACAAAAACCCATGACTTTATGGGGCTAGAAATGAAATAGTCTCCTGAGGGAATCGGTAGAGTGGGAAAAGGGGGGAGGGGAAGCCGTCCACACTGAGAGAAGGTAGGGCTGTAGCAGAAGATGCTTTGGCTTTATCAACGTCTGCGCTGTGGGTCCTGTGCTCTTTCACTTACCACCCCACTGCCTAAACCTGTTTGGCACAAGATCGCCATCCTCAGGGTCGTGGGGGAAACATCCGTGGCACCCCTGTGGCACAGTGAGGGTATCAATTCACACCCTGACTTACGCCAGGACACCTGAAACCATACGACCATTGCCACGACAGAGGCTCCAACCCTAATGATGCTGATTGGAGACTCTCTGGAAGAAAAAACGGAGAAAGATGAACAGGGTAAAAAGACACTCCCTAACCCAAGCATATATCCAGGACCAAACAAACCCAAGAAAAGGAGGAATGGAAGAAAGAAAACTGGATACAGGAAGAGGAACCCCCCCAAATTAATTCGACATAGGTTCACAATTTGACCCAACTGGAAATCCAAAATTCACAGGGGCGCCTGGGTGGTTCGGATGCTTAGGCGTCCGACTTCGGCTCCAGCCGTGATCCCGGGGACCTGGGATTGAGCCCCATGAGAGGCTCCCTGCTTGGAGGGGAGTCAGTCGGCTTCTCCCTCTGCCTCTGCCTGCAGCTCCCCCTGGTTCCTGCTCTTTCACACCTGCTTGCTGTCTCTCTCTCAAATGAATGAATAAACCGTAAAAAAAAAAAAAAAAAAAAAAAAAGAAATCCAAATTTACTAAGATAATTTATATGGCAAAAGATAAAATGAGGTCAACTGGCTTTTGGCCCTCTAAAACATAGGTTCTGAATTAACGTTAATGTCTGCTAAGATGTACCAGTTGGGTAACCTTCATGGATTCGATACCAGGGCTCCAATTATGCTTGTACCTAGTAAAATAACCGTATTTTCTAGCTTCTGTATTTAATGCTTTGACATCTCAGACTTGCTGACTTTGGAGGGACTGTCCCTGGCAGGCTTAGTTAATTCTTAGAAAAAGTCCACAACTGGCCTGGGAGCATACCTTTCACATCCAAACCAACCGGTACAGAACCCTTACTGCCAACCACCTCATCTTAAGCAGCTCTGGGCCACTATGGCCTCCCTGATCACCGCAAGGGCGGGACAGACTCCTGCAGACACCACTCTGGCCTGGAGCCCCCTGAAATTACTCAAACTAGCCAGTCTTAAACGTGCTTATCCTGCCTCACCTGTCCCTTCCCATGGAAACCACAATAAAGGGTCTTGCCCACATTTTCCCTTCACTCCCTCTTTCTCCTGACCAATCCTGGTGCTTCCCCAGGTGGCCCTGCAAGGCTCTCAGAACCTCCTTTCTTGGGGCCTCTAAATCTACAAAACTTCTTCCATTGTGACAGTTACTTCTATATCTTCCTAACTTATCATACCTGATTAAAATAAATCCTGGTCCCCTGAAAACCTCTGAGACCCCTAGGGCCACCTGGGTGGCTCAGTGGGCTACGCTTTCTTCTCAAGTCATGGTCTCAGGTTCATAGGATCCAGCTCCATGTTAGGCTCCGTGCTCAGGGTGGAGTCAGCTTGGGAATCGCTCACTCGGCCCTTCCCTCCGCCCCCCCCCGCCCCAACTGGGCTCGTGCACTAGGTGTCTCTCTCTTTAAAATAAAGAAATAAAATCTTTAAAAAAAAACACAAGGGAGCCCAACAAATTTAAGGATGGGGAATATTTTGCTAATATAGATTTGGCCAATATGTTCTGTTCCATGCGTATTTCAACATCCTCTCGGTCAAATGTGCCTTGACTTTGAAGGGGACACATTTTACCTTGTTAAGCACAGGGCACCCAAACCTCTCTGCTATCACAGACATCTTTGTGGGCAGGATCTTACTGCACCCGTCCTTCTCCAGGGACATAGGTATGACATCACATTTACGACTACCTACTGTGAGGACATTTGTTTGACACACTTGTTAAGGACATGCAGGTGCAGGGGCGACTGAGTGGCTCAGTCCATTAAGCGTCTGCCTTCGGCTCAGGTCATGAACCCAGGGTCCTGGGAACAAGCCGCGCATCAGGCTCCCTGCTCACTGGGAAGCCTGCTTCTCCCTCTCCCTCTGCCCCTACCAGCCCCTTGTGCTCTCACTCTCGTGCTCTTTCAAGTAACCAAATAAAATCCTTACAAACAAGGAAGGACATACAAGTCCAAATTCTGTCAGTATTTTTTTTTTTTTTTTTTTGGTTCTAGAGGCAACATATTCCTTGTTTATAAATTTTACATAAGCCCATTTAGGCTGCTACTTGTCACTGAGCCCACGCTGGGTGGGGCTCCCCTCAACAAAAGGCTCTAGGATCTGTCCAAAACAACTGTGAGGGGGCGACTGGCTGGCTCAGTTGGTGAAGCGTCGGCCTTTGGCTCAAGTCATGATCTCAGGGTCCTGAGATCCAGCCTGGCAGGGAACTCCCTGTTCAGTGGGGAGCCTGCTTCTTCTCCCACTCCCTTTGACCTCCTCCTCCAGCTCCAACTGTCTCTCAAATACATAAATAAAATCTTAAAAAAAAAAAAAAAATCACCCGTTAGTGCCCTAAGTAAAAAGGCTTTAGCAACTACCTCTCCAGCTTCCTGGAGTCACTGGAATCGTCCATGGACTCCCAATGCAAGAAATGGCCCTCCTTGGCCCTGGGTTATAGACCATGAAAGCAGCAATTGCTGACCATGCACTGGGCTCTCCTGGAAACGGAGTCTCTTACAGACTCTGAGCCTTCATATCCCGCTGTCTGCTCTGCCTCGGGTCATGATACCCCCACCAGCTTAATGTAGTTACCAAGGCCTTCTTGCTACAGGCTGAAGCCAAAGTCTGCATATCCAACCTGCAGGTGGGGGTGGCTGCTTCTATCCACAGTCCATTGCCAGATTCCATGGTGCTGGAGGACGTCAGCCTTTCCTTCTACCCCTTGGCTACCTAAGGATTCCCTTGGGATCAACTGAGTGACCATCAATGACCGTTGATACATTTTGGTTTTGAAGACCAACTCCCCCTCTTGTTCACGTGACAATTTCACTTCCTAGAGAAGCACCTGTCCTACTCCTTAAAAGTCTCAGTCCCAGGTTGAAATTGATGTCTAGATATCAGAGTCCACTGTGATGGAAAGCCTGAGATTAAGATTCAATAGGAAGTGTTGTCTTAGTATCAGGGAACATCAGAGGGCCTCCAATGGCCTCGGTCTCACCCAAAGTTCCCTTCCCCCTCTGCTCCCACAGATCAGGTCTCCTGGCCAAACGACCTTCTTTATCCCAGGGACCAGGCACAGTTTCTCCCCAAGGAGTAAGGTCCATTTCCCTGACAGCGTGTGCAATTATCCAGCAAGCCAGTCATGCCCTCCTGCAGGAAGTAGGGCTCACCGTCACTCTCTTGTTACTACAAGGTCTGCCCCCGCCCCAAAGCCCTTCTTCATTCTGCTCCCAGGTAAAACCCCCTTGTGGCCCTGCATGGTGTGGGCCACGAGTAGACATGGGTAATAAATTAGTGTCGAGCTCATCTGTTCAGCATCCGGACATCCCATAACTTTAGGGTGGGAATCACTCCCTTTACCAACGGGTGAAGAGGAGAAAAATGAAATCCTTCTGCTTTGTACCTTTGGCAAGGCACAACGATGAGGCTCATGCACTTGAAGTTCTTTGGATAAGAATCTATTGGGGGCTTGTAAGAATTCCCTGCGGCTAAAGGGCAGCCTGTATGTGAATGATGCGCAGGAGGGAAGGCTGCAAAAGCAAGGGCTTGGATGGTCTCCTAAAGGTCGAACTCCAAGCAATGAGGGAACCCACAAATAATGGCAGCAGGGAAGTGACATCAGATTTTCGTCTCAGTTCGCCCTGACAGCAGCATGGAGAATGGATTCAAAGGAGGCCGAGTGTGGAACCAGCAAGATCAGTAGGCAGTCTACTGCACTAGTCTGTGCAAGAGACAGGAATGGGTGAACCAGAGCACTGGCAACAGAAAGGGAGGGAAGGATTTAAGATATTTGGCAGGCTGAAGATACAGCACAATGGAAAATTAATGGAATGAGATCTTTCAAGAAGTCTGAATGGGAGGCGCCTGGGTGGCTCAGTCAGTTTAGCGTCTGCCTTTGGTTCAGGTCATGATCTCAGTGACCCGGGAATCAAGCACCACATCAGGCTCCCTGCTCAGCAAGGGGCCTGCTTCTCCTTCGCCCTCTGCCACCCGCCCTGCCTGTGCTCTCCTGCTCTGTCAAATAAATAAATAAAATCGTTAAAAAGAAGAAGAAGAAGAAGAAGAAGAAGAAGAAGAAGAAGAAGAAGAAGAAGAAGAAGAAGAGGGAGAAGGAAGAAGAAGGAGAAGGAGAAGGAGAAGGAGAAGGAGAAGAAGGAGAAGGAGAAGGAGAAGGAGAAGGAGAAGGAGAAGGAGGAGAAGGAGAAGGAGAAGGAGAAGAAAAGAAGTTTGAGTGGATGGTTTCCAGAGTATAGTGGAGTAATGAGCCTGGCACTGCAAACGAAGATTTGGAGTGGCTTCTGAGGAAAGGAACAAGGGAGTTGACCATGGACATTTGAAGTAAAAACTGATTAAATACTGATCAGTAGGAGCTAGTTCGGTAATTTAGGGTATATCCACAAAGGCCTGCATTTCCTTTTAAAGAATGAATTGGAATTCATTCACATTTGTAAAGATCTCGAAGGCAGAGTGATTTTTTTTTTTTAAAAGCAAGTCATAGAATACTATACGCCCAAAAAGACAAATATACATATATTTCTAAAGGCCTGAGATAAATCAGGTTACCCATGAAGTAGATTCCCAGGCAACATAAAATGAAATGGAAAAAACAATTAAAAATAAAAAAGGAGAAAGAGAAATGGGACATAACTGGGAAAATCAAACTCGCATTTTTTAAAAAAATGTATTCATCTTAAACTTTCATGCTATACACCCAGTTTCTCCAACAAGGCGTGGGTGCTCATGTATTTGATAAGTTGGGAACATTAAAACGAGTGGATGTTTTCCTTACCAAAGGTATATGTATATACATGCTCCTTATGAAAACATCAAAGCATTACAAACAATACTGGAAGTACCATTGACCGCAGCCCCCAACCCCACCAGTGTCTACTCTCATAAGAAATACCCACCATTTTCAGTTTGGTGAATACCTCTGCAGTCATTAAAAGATGCCTTTTTTTGTTAACTCATAAAAGAATATTTTTATTAAGCTGAAAGCAAGACTGCAAATATATTACGTTTTGCAAAAGGACATTTTGGGATTAGGTAAACACACAGAGTGACTTGGGGTCTTCCGAGCACTGTCTCATCTCTGGCTTGAGAATCCTCTATTTCTTTGAGAGGCCTTTGGCCGCCATTCCAACCTTCTCCGCAGGTGACAGTATTTGGGGTGCGTACGTGGGCAAAGCATCAGTGACGGCATTTAGAAGAAGGTGCTCCGATCCATCCGCTTCCGGTCCAGGTGGGGTAATAAGAGACACCGTTGTGGTGCGGGGCTTCACATCTTTTTTCCGGGATGTGGATGCTAGGGTAGTGTTCAGACGTGCTGGGCCTTGTTTCATAGCCAGTTTTCCCCTTCCTCCGGGATCTGGGGGCTTCACGTCATGAGCAGAGGGCTTTGGTGGTGGCAAAGCTGAATGAGATTCCGCTTCTAGAAACTGGACGAAAAGCCCTGAAAAAGAATTCTTGGCCATAGGTCGGTGATTTGGCTTCACATGTGTGTTGGGGGCGCTTTTGGATCCAGGCCCCCGACTCATCCAGCTGGTACCACCACCTGGCCCTTCACTGAACAGCTGCCGCATCTGGTCTTCTCGGATCCCCAGCATGCTTCCCATCAACCTTAAGGCTTCCTGCCGTTCAGCGTCAGGGGCTTGGAAAGATCCCAGGAAGAGTCTCCTTAGTAGGGTTTTGTCCACCATTCCTTCGGACTTACTGACTAAGTTCATCAGTTTCTTCTGTGTGTCCTCCAGGATTTCCTGCTGGACCTCATTCTGTTTCTGGAATTCTTGGAGTTGGTCTTCCTTCAGCTCCAAGTCAGCATTTGTTTTATGTAATCGTCCCTGCAATGACTTCAGTTTTCCTTCGAGGCTGTCTGCCTTTTCCATCCATTCGGCGAGTTCCAACTTGAGGTCAGCTAGGATGTGACCATACTGCCTTCCTTCTTCCTGCGAGGCAGCAAGCTGGAGCGCAGTGTCCTCTTTCTGCTGGGTCACCACGTGCAGTTGCTCCTGCAGCGACTCTACCTGCAGACTGGCTCCTCGGCTGGCATTTTCCATGGCAGTGGAAGACAAAACGAGTCTTCCCTGCAAGACCGTCACTTCCTTCCTGAGTTGAGCCACTTTGTCTTCTGAGGCCAGAGCTTCCCGGCGATGAGCGTCTTCGGCTTCTAGAGCGAGGTGTCGCCGTCTCTCCAGCTCCTGGGTTAGGCGTAATTCGCTCTCACGTAAATGGCGAACCTCCTTCTGGAGGGCACAGGTTTCCATTTGTTTCTGTGTCAGGGCCAACAGGACTTCATCTCTCCCCTGTTGGCACAGAACTGTCTTTCCCTGCATTGATGGAACTGCACTGACCGGCCGGTTCAATACCCCGGTCTCGTGCTCTTCTCTCTCTTGCGATAGTTGCTCCAAAGCAAGTGCCTTCTCTTTCATCGCAGCACCCTGGGATTCCTCCTCTCTCCGCATCACTGAAAGCAGCCTATCTGTCTCTTGCAGTGCCTCATCTCCCACTGCCTTTTCTCGAGAGTTTTCCTCGACTTTTGCATTTTCCTCTCTCGGTTGACACACATCCATTTCCAACTCTGCTATTCTCTCCTTCAGATTGGTGACCGTCTGCCTCAAAAGTTCATTTTCACTCACTTGGCTACGGAAGTTCTCCTGCAAAGAAAGCAAGTCCTCACTTTTCGCTTGGATTCGGAGCTCCTGATCCCGAATGAAGTTTTGTAGAACGGCCTGTTTCTCCTTCAGCTGCTCGATGTCGGAATCCCTGTGTTCCTGTTCTGGGCCTTCTCCTTCCCACGTGGCAGCCACTGAATCAGTCCATCTCTGCTTATCTTCCTGGAGGGTTCGAATCATCCTATCTTTTTCTTGCATTGATTTTCTCAGCTCTTCTACCTCCACTTGGAGCAACTCAGAAGCCTCACCCACTCTGTCAGATTTCACGGGCTCCAGAGAGTCCGCTGACTCTGAGCAGTCGGGGGAGGGCTCGAGGAAAATCACGTCCAGTTTCCCTAGAAGGAGATCCTTGGCATTGCAAAGCTCCCCGATGCTGAGCTGAATTTGTGCCAGTTCCTTCTCTAAATGTTGTAATTTTATTTCATTGCCTTTGTACGTCTGCATCAGGTCACTAGAGGTCGTCGGTAGTTCAGAATCCTTCTCGCTGCTGGTGAAAGCCCGCGCCTGGAGTTGTGCCAGCTCTCTCTCAAGCTGGGGTGACTCACGCTTCATATTTTGGACTGTGGTCATCACCTGCTGTTTCCACTCTTCCATGATCTTCACTCGCTGTTTTAATGTGTCCCGTTCCTGTAGAAGCTGCTTGAACTGATCCATATGAACGCCTCGAACCTCATTACCAGGGCTGGAGGGTTGCAGGAGTGTCAATAAAGTCTGACATTTCTGACTTAACGCATCCACTTCGAGGTCTTTTTCTCGAACGATGTGTGATAAATTCTGAATCGTTTCTCTAAACATCTCCTGACCACTACTGTCCATTCTAGTGGACAGTTTTTGATTTTCCTCTTGCATCCGCCGGAGGTCTGCTTCTGTGGCAGCCATCCTATCCGCCATTTTGTCATACTCTGTCCTCAGATTGCTGTTCTCCCTCGTTTTCTCATTTAAGACCGCCAAGACCTGTTCGCTTTTCCAAGCGTACTCTTGCAATTGCCGCTGAAGTCGCTCCACGTCCCCGTTCTGGCTGTGAGAAGCCGCAGAGATCCTGCTGGAAAGACCCTGAATCTCCAAGTCTTTCTGCTGGATAATCTGAGTTAGTTTACCAATCTCCTCTTTGGAGAGCCGATCCATCTGTTCCGTCAGTCGGATGTTCTGTTCAGTTAGAAGCTTCATCTCCAGTTCGTGTTCTTTGATTCCTAGGACTGATCTTTGAGTTTCGGCTTCACGTGAATCAAGCTTTTCACTTGCGTTTTGTCTGGGAAGAGGCTGACTGGTTGGGACTTCCACATCATCACAGTCTTCTGTCGGAATGTGCTGGCTTTTGTCAGGCAACCGGGCTTTCATTTGTTCTATCGTGTCCTGCAAATGCTGAATCTCCTCGTCTTTCGCTGAAAGGAGCTGAGCGTGTTCAATATTCATCTGCTCCTGCCGGTATTGGAGCTGCTCCACTTTCTGCTTCTGCTCTTGTAAAGAATGAAGCAGTCCTATCTTCCCCTGCTGCTGGTTGTGAATGATCTTCTGCTGCTCTCTGATTTCCTCCTCGAGATCATCCTTTAACTCCTGGAGTTGAAACACCTCACACTCCAGTTCTACGATCTCGTCTAGGATTTTAGGGTCGAGCGCAGGAACAGAGCGACTCTGTTGTCCTAGGCTCTCCAGTTCTTCTCTCAGATGAGGATTTTCGCCTGTCACGGATGGGAGACACCTGTCTTTGTCCTCCACGGATGGCTGGGAAATGTCATTACTTCTGAAGGTTTGGGTAGACTGACCGAATTCCTCCTGAAGCTCTGGACTTCCTGTAAGTTCTTCAATATACATCTCTTTCTCTTTAACGAGTTGTGTCAATCGCTTCTGCTCCTCCAGAGCAGAGGACAGCATTTCCTTCGTTTCTGTATGGTCGGCGTCCATCTGCTCGATCCTCTTTTTGAGGTGTACTATTTCCAGGTCTTTCTCTTGACTGTGTTGAATGCAATGCACATGCTCTAAAGGGGACAATTCTTTGATAGTTTGCTCATCCTTGTTTGTTTCCTCCAACAGCTTCTTTTCCGCCCGAGCCAATTTTGCTATTAACCGTCCTTTTTCTATTTTTAAAGCCCTCACAGCAGTGTTGTTTTCCAGAGAATCCTCGTTGTTCCGGAGAATAGATTCTTCCAGCTGATGTCTTACATCCTGGAGCGCCAAAACCAACTTTTGGTTTTCTGCTCTGAGATCAGAAGCAACGTTGTTTAAACGGTCATTCAGCCGCTCCATTTCTGCAAGTTGTTGCTTCAACCTTCTAAGCTCAGTTTCCCTTTCTTGAAGTAAGTCATCTTTCCCATGACTGGCAGACTCTTGATGTTGCAGGTCTTCTATCCGTCTTTCATACTCGAGGAGTTGTTTGCGGTGCCTGTCAGTGATGTCGGCCAGTTTTTCTTGATGGACACTGTGCAGTATCGCAACTCCGAGTTGATGTTCCTCGATCTCCCTCATCCGCCTCTCTTCTAGGTCCCTGATGGTGCTCTTCAGTTTCCAGATGGCATTGGAGTCTGAGCTATTCGGTCCCTTGGACAAATGTTTCCAAAGTGTAAGATCAGCCTCCAGTCTTTGGATCTCATTGAGGAGTCTATTGATTTCTGTCTGAGATGATATGACATCACCAAAGTCCATGGTGAGATCCGAGTTGGAGCCGGTCAAGGAAGTCTCACTGCCATCCACTCCTCCCTGGGAATGGCCTAGGCCAGAGCCCAGGCCACCAACCCAGGAGCACATCTTCGCGGGTCATATAACTGTCGCGGTCCGCTGTGGAAAAGCGTCCAGCGCAGTCGGACTACCCCGCCAAGTGTCCCAGAACGCCTGCTTGCGCCAGGCTAAGAATCAGAAGACAACAGGCGTTTCTAGGCAACGCCTGCGCGGGCCCGGCACGCGCCTCCCCTGCGCAGGCCACGTTGCTAGGAAAGCCCGAGACCTTGGGCCTTCCCAGGGCCGACTCTGGCCACCGGTCCCGGTCCCAGACGCTCAGCCCCACGACTTCCCACGCAGGGCTGGGCCCCTTCCCCTGTTCCCCGCTTCCTGGCTGTCCTGGGTGGGCCCCTAGCGAGTGCTCCTGCCTGACTGCCCCCAGGTGCCCGCCCACAGAAAATGCATCTGGCCCTGGACTTTCCCCCAGGAAATGCATGCAATGCATGCAATGCATGCAATGCATCCATTCACCTAGGAGAGCAGATCCTAGGTGCATTTGACAAATATCTACACCTGCGCAGAGGCACGGCCCTCAAGGAGACTTTGGGCATTTCCAGCCTCCAGAGGCTCCAGAGTGTTCCGTCCTTCCGTGCCCTGCCAGCTCTGCGGGGACAGTGCGTCCCACACCGGGGTTTGGCGGTTCACCGGTGGCTCCGTGCGCTGCGCGCATCCGCTGCCTCGCGGAGGTGTGCGGCTGGACCCGGCAGGGGGTCGCGGGCGGCGGTGGCGGTGCCCGAGAGGGGGCCTCCGGGCCCTGCACAGGGCGGCCCCGGGGTTCCCGCCCTGGGTGGAGGACGGGCTGGGTACCGCGTCCCGGGTCTGGCCTCCCAAGGCCCCGACCTGCCGCGCCACTGGATGAGAGGCGGCGAGGGGGGGGGCGCCGGGCCCACAGCCGCTTCCACTGCCGCCTCGGGTGGACATGAAGCGACGTCGGCCCCCCTCCCCCCGGGCGATTCCTCGAGCTGCCCGGCCCTGGCCGTGCCGGCCCCCGCCGCCGCCGCCAGCAAGAAGCAATCCAGCTGCATGAAGCAGCTGACCAACCAGACCGTGGGCAGGCGAGCGCGTCGATCCGGATCGGCAGGAGCCCAGACCAGGCTCGGGCGCGGGAGGGCCGGCTGCTCTCCTGGTCGCGCGCTCTGTCCCTTGCCGCCGCCCCACATCAGGCCTCGGGGTCTGGGCCTGGGGCTGCGCCACGCCAAGACCTGGAGCCCGGCTCGGTGCCGCTGCCCGAGCCCCTGGGGAGCAGCTGGGTGGGTCGGCTGTCCCCGTCGCCCTCTGTCCAGGCCCCACCCAGCATCGCCCTCGGCGCACTGGACCCGAGCCTTCCCCTGCCCTCCCCCGGGCTTTGCCCTGGCTGAAAACTCCGGGAACCAGTGAGCCCCAGGCCGAGCGGACGCTGTGCTCTGCGGGCGATGGCCTCAGGCTTTCCGGGTCGCCCCGCCGCTGTAGACCCTCCACCTCCCAGTGCCTCATGGCACTAAATAAGTAAGGGGCCATCAGAGCCCATCGGATCCGCCTACGAGGTTCGGGCGTCCATCCAGGCACTGTAGAGGTGCCGCTGTCTCCAAAGCCGGGCCCCTGTGGACCGGACTGCCCAAGACCTTGACATTGAGAAATTGGGAACTGCGAGGAAAGAATTGTGGAAACGCCTTGGGACGACTTTTAGTTTAATTTTGAATAGCTTTTGAAAAAGCCTTTCTCCCTTTGGATTTGGGAGCCGATTCTTCTCCAGGTTTCTTTGGGGCTGCTTTAATGCTTGACAGGAAACATGATCGATTATGAAATGACAGAACAGACCGGAATTGGTAGACCATCAGGCTGCTGCAACAGGAACGACGGGTGGTTCTGAGAGCTCCTGCAGGTGACTGTCATGTGCCCCGTTATCTGGGGCACATCTTTCAACGTCTTTGGGGCAGGTGGCTGTACTGGACCTACTCTTTAGGCTGGCAGACATATGAAAGTGTGAGTTTTCCACAGCTTTTGCTTCTTTTTTTCCCCAATAGTGGGGTCAAAAGGGGAGTTCAGTCTGACCAAAGCACGTGTGTGCATGGCACGTCCATCCTGTGTGTTCTCCATTCATAGAGCATTGCAGGGCCACGTGCTCGTCCCAAGATCGAGGACCTTGTGAGCAACCCCACAGTGAGGTTCGGTGGTGCTGTGCGGCTTTCTCGTGACTATCATTGGAAAGTCGACCTCAGAATACTTACCTGGGAGAAGATCTTCATCCTGAGGACAAATACACAGTACGTTTTCTAATTCTGCATTCCCTCATACATTGACCGACCATCTTCATGGACTGAACACTAGGCCCCAAACAGCAAAGGTGGACTTAGCGCCTTAAATTACGAACACTATGGTCAGAAATGTATTTTTTAGGTGACTTTGGTCTCCGCATGGAGAACGGACGGAGGACAAAAGTTAGGAGGATCTCACAGCCATCCAGGAAGAAGGTCCAGGGAAGAAGTCATGGGGAGCCTGAACTGGGGCAGCCGCCACGGGGATGGACACTGAGAGGTGGGGACGCACTGAGAGGTGCTGGGGAAGTAGAACCTAACAGACTTTTCCAAAACCCAGACTGAGACAGATTAGGGAGGGTCAGGAAACCACTGTGGGGGGGGGGCGGGGGGGGAACCAGCATTTAGGGGATCAAATAGGATACAAGAGCAAATATCACAAAGCACCCCACACTGTGAGGGCGAGCACCAGCTTGTGGTACTACTACTTTTTCTGTGAGAGGAGAGCACGGTGGGGGGAAAGGGCCGGCACTCTGGAGCCGGGGAATGGGCTTCCGATCCCAGCTCCACCACGTGTCTGCTGTGAGGCGCTGGAAGTCACTCACCTCCCCGGGCCAAGCGTTCCTCGTCTGCACAGTAGAGAAAGTGATAGCACCTCACGGGGTTGTGAGGATTCCTGAGGAAATACATACACGGGAGACTCTCCCAGCAGGACCTGCCCTAGTAAGCGCCGTGGCTGTGCCTTTATGACTTATGACACGGGACACAGACGTGGGGCCTGAGGTACACACACACCGTGAATCGACAGACCGCAAAGATTCCCCTGAACAAGCACAAGGCCCTGTGTAGAGAACAGGGAAGGAACCCGGACTTGCAGGAGCTGCAGTCCTATTGTCCTGGTTCTGCCACTAACCAGACCCGTCGCCTTTCCCGTCAATGAGCGTAGTTACATACACCTGTTCTTGCCCCCTAACAGAGCAGGTGAGGGACCAAATCAGGGAACAGCTACAAAAGGCCTTTGTTTCATATCACCATCACCCAGCCTTGCACATCCTCAAACCGTACCGAGGACACTGTCATGACGACCATAAAATCATCGTTATCAGACATGGATGGAACTGGAGGGTGTTATGCTGAGCGAAATCAGTCAATCAGAGAAAGACATGTATCGTATGACCTCACTGATACGAAGAATTCTTAATCTCAGGAAACAAACTCAGGGTTGCTGGAGTGGTGGGGGGTGGGAGGGATGGGGTGGCTGGGTGATAAGGCATTGGGGAGGGTATGTGCTATGGTGAGCGCTGTGAATTGTGTAAGACTGTTGCATCACAGATCTGTACGTCTGAAAGAAATAATACATTATATGTTTAAAAAAAAAAGAAGATAGCAGGAGGGGAAGAATGAAGGTGGGGAAATGGGAGGGGGAGATGAACCATGAGAGACTATGGACTCTGAAAAACAAACTGAGGGTTCTAGAGGAGAGCGAGGTGAGAGGATGGTGTAGCCTGGTGATGGATATTGGGGAAGGCACGTTCTGCACGGAGCACTGGGTGTGATGCACAAACAATGAATCACGGAACGCTACATCAAAAACTAATGGTGTAATGAATGGTGAGTAACATAACATAATAAAAAAGGAAACCTCTTCCTTATCGTCAATATGGCAGATGCAGGGGCTCTGGGTCTCACAATTCCACTGGCAGGGCTCTTCCACACGTGCTGAGGACATGTCTACAAGGACTTTTTTTTATCATAACCCCTGTTGCAACAGCAAAGGATGGGAAGCCAGGCACCTATCCTTCAGCGAGGCCCTGGGGACATCACGTATGTGGCTGAGGGTGGCAGCAGGTGCAAGCAGCTGGGGACAGGGGCGCGAGACAGGCAGTCACTGCATTCCTTCTGAATATATTTTTAACATTTTTGAACCAGGCGGGCACCTTCACGAATGAAACAATTCGGGAAAGAAGAAGGGGAATTTTCATTTACCTTTAATCTCCAGAAGGTGGTATCTACCCCAGCCCCAAGATTTAGAATTTGATAATGACATTCTGTCTTCCGTAGAAATGCCTTCAGCAGCTGGCTGATGCCATGGACTCGAGCAAAATATCCCGAGAGACAGAGACAAGCTATCGCTCAGTCAGGTTGGAAATCATCCCTGCAGAGCCCAGCCCAGGAGAAGAGCCAATGAGGACTCTTCTGCTCTTCTTTGGGGTCAGCGGTTTATCTGTGGACTTCATGGGAGAAAGAGTGACTTTCACATTCTCTTGTTTTTTGTTTTCGGTTATGTTAATCACCATATAGTGCTTCAGTAGTTTTTGATACAGCGTTCCATGATTCATGATTTGCGTGTAACACCCAGTTTTTTTTTTTTAAAAAGCTGTTTGAACTCAAGTAAGTACAATCTACTTGATGGTGGAATTAACCATCTTAAAAAAAAAAAAAGTCCCATAATTTTACATAAGAAAGACAAGGGTTTTACATGAAAAATCAGATCTAAATGTTCCTCTTGGAAATGTACTTTCTCTTGGTTAGGTGTAAGCCTCTCAAGACTCTGTGAAAACTCAACAATGCGAGATCATGACGAAAATAAGATTCTGGGGTCAGGAAATGGGGCAGATAAATGTCAAAGCAAAAAAAAAAAAAAAAAAAGAAAAGAAAAGCCGTATTTCCACCACGTTCCCTTCCTCTCCATCCTGTGTGGGTAAGAGCCCCTGTTTATAAAGTGGCCTCATAGACCGTCTGCGGGAGGGGAAGGCATGAGCAAACGTTGCCGAATAAATGGACTGGTTCAGCTGTGGGTTGGGGAGCTGGAGTGAAGGCGATGAGGAATAAAAGGGGGGAAAATGGAAAACAGTATCTGTTCTAAGTGGGGGAAATGGAAGATAATATCTGTTCTAAAGCCCTGTTGTTTAAAGTATAACTACTTTAAGAACAAAATTTCAGTAGCATTTAGAAACTTACTGCAATGTGACATAGGAATTCTACGTCTATTGATTCTCCTCATAAATAACTTGAGCTTCTATTTGATGTGTCTCTTGCATTTTATCTTTCTAGGAAATCATTTTTCATGTATGTTATAGAATATCGTCCACAACAGAGAGATTATTGGAACAAAACTTTAAAGATGCTCACCACATGTTGCCTGGGAAGCCCTCTCCTAGGGGGTCCGGTCTGGAGATGCCAGCCCATGCAGAGGAAGAAGGAAGGAAGGCCGGCTGACACCCTGCCTGGGGCGTCTAGCTCCCAGGGCCCCAACTTGGGTTCCCACCTCTGTAGCCCTGGTTAGGAAAGCTGCCTCAGGAGCCTGGGAGAGAGGATTTCAGGCCTCTTAGCCAGGCCTGGCCCCATCTCCCTGATGCCTGGGTTCACCCTCAGCTCCAAGTAAGGTCCATGTCCTTATTCTCAGGAACCACCACTTTGCACTTTCTTTCCATTTCTTACAGAATCTACCCATAGGCTCCATCTTTAGGGTGAGGATTCCCTGCATGCCCAAGGACTGTGGTCATTTGGTCACTTTCTCAATCTGACTAAGTCACCCTCCCATCTCAAATCCCTTCACTGCCTTGATAGAAAGGACTTCAGAGCCTAACAGTGTTACTATCATTTTACTAAGGTCAAGAAAGGAATTCCTTACTTGACCAGACAGTTCACTGTAAAAGATAATATAAATGGCTCTTAAACATATAAAAACGATCTTCAACTTCACCCCCCAAAATAAGAGGAATATAAAATAAAATGACGGGGGCACCCGGGTGGCTCAGTCGTTAAGCCTCTGCCTTTGGCTCAGGTCATGATCCCAGGGTCCTGGGTTCGAGCCCCGCTTCGGGCTCCCTGCTCCTCGGGAAGCCTGCTTGTGTTCCATCTCTCACTGTGTCTCTCTCTGTCAAATAAAGAAAGAAAATCGGTAAAAAAAATTATACAGTAACATTACTGAAGACACCATCTTTCACATATCAGATTAACCACGATGAAAAGGTTTCTAATACACCGTGCTGGTGAGGATGTTGGGAAATGAGCACTTCCATTCGCCACTGGAGAGAATGAACACTGGAACTCCCTCTTTTGAAGAGTGAATCCCTAAAAGCTCATCTACCTCAAAAGGCCAACAGAGGCACGTCTGGTACTCCATTACAAATGTCGGCAGACTCAGCCATCCGTCTTGGTGCTCGCACACATGGCCCGTCACCGTCCCCACGGCAGCCATTTCTTCCCTTTCTTTACTCGTGCGCCTACCTCCTTCCCCAAGACCCTAGACAGCACAGAACCTCACCTCATCCCTCACCTAGAAAACCTGCCACCACTTATTCCCTCAGCAAACCCACGGGTGAGAGCCAGTCAGAGAACTCTGCTCGACCGGAAGTTCTGTGTCCATAGGAAAGGAGATCCAGGATCGTTCCGGAAAACTCACGAACGACTACCTAAGTATTTCCCCCGGCTCTGGATTAGGAACCGGTCCTTCCACACCCTTTAAGCAAGTCCTAGTGGGAAAACCAGGAACAAAGAAACACAACAGCCACAACCTAGAAAATGTTATAGTAGCCTTCACTTTCTGGTCTACACTATAACCTGGAAAATGCTATGGTAGCCTAAACTCTCCCCGGTCTACACTACAAGGAACCAAACTTTCAGTGTTCTAAACCAGGGAGCTGAAGCCCAGATTACCACTGAAGGGCTTCTGACAACCGTTGAGGGAACCAGCCTTAGGACAAGGAGAAGTACTGGAAGGACACTGCATCCCTAAAACCATGCGAAGCCCCTGTGGGCCTATAGCCTGCTCTGCCCCTCATCGGATAATGTGAATTAATAAATGCCCCTCATGTGAATTAATAAATGTCTTTACCATTTCAACCAAATGGAGGGGCAGCTGGGTGGCTCAGTCAGTTGAACGGCCAACTCTTGGTTTAGGCTCAGCTCAATTGTGTCCATATCAATTAGATCTATGGCAGAGAGTACATCCTCCGGTTCTTTCTTTTGTTGTGAATTCCTCCTTCTATTCCTTTTGCCCAGAGAAGAATGGAGGAACAAGAGAGCAACATAAAAAATATCAACCACGACGCAAGCAAATACACACTAGTCAAATCCGAAGAGGTCAGAAACCAAAAAAGAGAAGAAAAAAGAAATGTGGGGGGTGGCTGGGGGGTGGGAGAAGAGAGAATATTATCTCCCAGGTGGTCAAACCTCCATGAAATCCTGGGTGTATTTTGGCCTGTTTGTTAAAAGACACTAAATCCCAGAAGTGTAAAATCACCAAGGTTACATATATACAGACATAAAATTGAATGTAGCAGAAGGAAGCAAAACTGAAGACTATCTCTAAAAAATGGAAATGTAGAAAATGACAATCAAAAACGACTTAAAATGAAAGAGTTGATAAAATAAGAAACTAGTTGGGAAGAAAAAAAGAAAAGGAAAATTTTAAACTGCAAGATAAACGAATCATGAAATAACCTTTGAATTCAATTTACTGTTTTCCCCTAGTGCTGGAGTTTTGCACTCCTGTGGGCTCCTAAACTTCTTCCCCTGTTCTTCCAGCTGCTTTGCTCGGGGAGTGGCCTGCTGTGCTGACCCTCAGGTGTCTTGGCCTGGGGGGAGTTGTACCGCCCCTTGCGGGGGGGGGGGGGGGGGCGGGCTCAGTGTAAACTGCTTGTAGTTGCTCTATGTGATTCTATTCCCCGAAGGCTCTCTGGGCCACTTGAGAGGATGAAAAGAAAAATGGCCACGCCCCGATTTCCAGGCCCGGAGCGAAAAGATCGAGGTCCCCTCTCTTCAGTAAACTGTCAGGGATAAGCGGTCTTCAGTTTTGTGTGTGCCAAAGTCTGCAGGCTCCTGTGGTGAGGGCCTGCACCGATCCTCCTGGGAGAAGGCAGAGGGGCGCCGCCTTGTCTGGCCTGTGCAGGACCCGCATACAATAGCTGTCACCCAGATGAGCCGTGGTTCGTGGTTTATGGCAAACTGAGTTGAGAACCCCCCCTGCTCCCTGACCCTAACCAGTTTCCCCACTCCAGTGCCTGGGAACTCTGCCGGCTCAAGCACCCCTGTTCTTCCTGTGACCCCAGGGATCCTGAGGTCACACTGTCCCACCTTGGATGCTGCCCCACCTTGCCACCAGAGCACCTTTCAGGCAGGGCTATCTCTTAGCGGAGAAGATTTCTAAAGGTTCTGATTTTGCGCTCTGGGGCTGTATCACTTGCCTGTGGCCGGCTTACACAGGCTCCCTCTCCCCGCAGAGGATCTTCCCATATATCCCCGCAGATTCACTTCTCCGCACCTCTTACTTTGCAAAAAGTGGTCACTTGTCTATTAGTAGAATTCCAGCAATTCCTTCCTTACATCTCAGGTTGAATTCAGAGGTGTCCAGGATGATTTGATAGTTATCTAGCTACATTCAAGGGACCAGATGAAACGAGCTCCCCTACCGTGCCACCATCTTGCCTCCCTCCTTCGATCTCTTCCTTTTGTTTTGAAAGATTTATTTATTTTAGAGAGTGAGCGGGGGGAGGGGCAGAGGGAAAGAAAAATCCTGAAGCAAGCAGACTCCCCGCTGAGGAGTTACTGCAGGCCCTGAGGAGAAAGAGAGAGAGAGAAAGAGGGACAGAAGGTATATATGAACAAATCATAGCTGAGAACTTTCCTAATCTGGGGAAGGATACAGGCATACAAGTTCAAGAGGTAGAGAGAACCCGTTTCCAAATCAATAAAAATATATCAGCACCCTGACATACAGTAGCGAAGCTTGCAAATTTCAGAAATAAAGAGAAAATCCGGAAAGCATCTCAAGACAAGAGGTTCCTGACCTAGACGGGTAGGAACATTAGGCTGGCAGCAGACCTATCCACAGAGATCTGGGAGGCCAGAAAGGGCTGACATCATCTATTCAGGGTACTAAATGAGAAAAACATACAGCCAAGAATACTTTCTCCAGCAAGGCTGTCATTCAGAATGGAAGGAGAGCTAAAGGGCTTCCTGGACAAATAGAAACTGAAAGACTATGGGACCACTAAACGAGCCCTGCAAGAAATACTAAAGGGGGGGACGCTTGGGTGGCTCAGTCGGCTAAGCATCTGCCTTCAGATCAGGTCATGATCCCAGGGTCCTGGGATCGAGCCCCGCACTGGGCTCCCTGCTCCGCGGGAAGCCTGCTTCTTCCTCTCCTACTCCCCCTGCTTGTGTTCCCTCTCTCGCTGTGTCTCTCTCTGTCAAATAAATAAAATCTTAAAAAAAAAAAAAAGAAAGAAAGAAATACTAAAAGGGATCCTCTATGCCAAGAGAGAGCCCAAAAGTAACACTGGACCAGAAAGAAAAAGATCTACAGAAACAGGGACTATACAGGTAATACAACGGTACTAAACTCATCTCTCTCAATAGTTACTCGGAATCTAAATGGGCTAAATGCTCCAATCAAAAGACACAGGGTAGGGGCGCCTGGGGGGCTCAGATGGTTAAGCGTCTGGCTTCGGCTCAGGTCATGATCCCAGGGTCCTGGGATCGAGCCCCGCATCGGGCTCCTGGCTCAGCGGGGAGCCTGCTTCTCCCCCTCTCCCTCTGCCTCTCTCCCTGCTCATGCTCTCTCTCGCTCTCTCTCTCTCTCCCTGTATCTCTGTGTCTCAAATGAATAAATAAAATCTTCAAAAAAAAAGTCATCATTTAAAAAAAAAAAAAAGACACAGGGTATCCGACTGCATAAAAAAGCAAGACCCATCCATATGCTATCTACAAGAGACTCATTGTAGAACTAAAGACACCTCCAGATCGAAAGTGAGGGGGTAGAGATCCATTGATCACGCGAATGGACCTCAAAAGAAAGCTGGGGTAGCAATCCTCCTATCAGACAAATTAGATTTTAAACCAAAGACTGTATTAGGGGATGAAGAAGGATGCTATATCATACTTCAAGGGCCTACCCAACGAGAAGATCTAACAATTATAAATATATATGCTCCTAACTTGAGCAGCCAATTACATAAACCAATTAAGAACCAAATGAAGGAAACACGACGAGAATCATACAATAACTGTAGGGGACTTCAACACCCCACTCCCAGCAATGCACAGATCATCTAAGCAGATGATCAACAAGGAAACAAGGGCTCTGAATGACACACTGGACCAGATGGACTTCACAGGTACATCACAGCATGCCATCCTAAAGCAACAGAATACACATTCTTCTACAGGGCACATGGAACATTCTCCAGAAGAGATCCCATACCGGGGCACAAATCAGGTCTCAACCGATACCAAAAGATTGGGATTATTCCCTGCCTCTTTTCAGACCACTATGCTTTGAAACAGGAACTCAGTCACAACAGGAAATAGGGAAGGAACTCAAACACTCGGAGGCTAAAGAGCATCCTACGAAAGAATGAATGCATCAACCAGGAAATCAAAGAAGAATTAAAGATTTCATGGAAATGAATGAAACTGAAAACACAGCCGTTCAAAACCTTTGGGATCCAGCAAAGGCGGTCCTAAGAGGAAAGTACATAGCAATACAAGCTTTCCTCAAAAAATCAGAAAGTCTCCAATACACAAGCTAACCTTACGCCCAAAGGAGCCGGAGAATGAACAGCAACTAAAGCCGAAACCAAGCAGGAGAAGAGAAATTATAGAGATTAGAGCAGAAAACAATGAAATAGAAACCAGAAGAACAGTAGAACAATCAATGAAACCAGGAGCCGGTTCTTTGAAATTATTAATAAGCTTGATGAACCTCAAGCCACACTTATCCAAAAGAAAGGGGAAAGGACCCAAAATAATAATGTCATGAATGAAAGAGGAGAGATCACAACCAACACCAAAGAAACACAAACCATCTTAAGAACACACACAGCAACTATAGGACAACAAATGAGGTCACCTGAAAGAAATGGATGCGTTCCTGGAAACTTGTAAGCCACCAAAACTGAATCAGGAAGAAATACAAAACCTGAACAGACCCATAACCAGCAAGGAAACTGAAGCAGTGATCAAAAAATCTACCAACACACAAGAGTCCAGGGCCACATGGCTTCCCAGGGGCATTCCACCAAACATTCAAAGAAAAACTAATACCTATTCTTCTGAGGCTGTTTCAAAAAACAGAAATGGAAGGAAAACTTCCAAACTTGTTCTCTAAGGCCAGCATGACCTTGATCCCAAAAACAGACAAAGACCCCATGGATGCAAAAATTCTCAGCACAATACTAGCGCATAGGATCCAACAGCACATTAAAAGGAGTATTCACCGTGACGAAGTGGGATTTATTCCTGGGCTCTAAGGGTGGTTCCACATTCGCAAATCAAATCAATGTGATACTTCACATTAATAAAAGAAAGGTCAAGATCCGTATGATCCTCTCAACGGATGCAGAAAAAGCACCGGACAAAATGCAGCATCCTTTCTTGATTAAAACTCTCCACAGTATAGGGGTAGAGGGGATATACCTCAATAACATAAAACCCATCTATGAAAAGCCCACAGCGAATATCATTCTCAATGGGGAAACACGGAGACCTTTTCCTCTAAGGTCAGGAACATGACAGGGAGGCCCACTCTCACCGCAGTTCTTCAACTAGAGAAGTCCTAGCCTCAGCAATCAGAAAACAACAAAAAAGAAATCAAAGGCATCCGACTGAGCAAAGAAGTCAAACTCTCACTCTTTGCAGATGACATGATACTTTATGTGGAAAACCCAAAACACCACCCCAAAATTGCTAGAACTCATACAAGAATTCAGCAGGATATAAAATCAATGCACAGAAATGAGTTGCATTTCCATACACTAACAATGAGACAGAAGAACGAGAAATGAAGGAATCGATCCCATTTACAAATGCACTGAAACCCATAAGATACCTAAGAATAAACCTAACCAAAGACGTAAAGGATCTGTACTCCAAAAACTACACAACACTTAGCAAAGAAATTGAGGAAGACACAAAGAAATGAAACAACGTTCCATGCTCATGGATTGGAAAAACACTGTTAAAATGTCTACACAGAGTAATCGAACCATTCGATGAGATCCCCATCAAAATACCATCAACTTTTTTCACAGACTGTAACAAATCATCCTAAAATGTGTATGGAACCAGAGAAGACCCCGAATGGCCAGAGGAATGTTGATAACGAAAACCAAAGCTAGTGGCATCACAATGCCAGACTTCAAGCTAGAGTACAAAGCTGTAATCATCAAGACAGTATGGTTCTGGCACAAAAACAGACACATGGATCAACGGAACAGAAGACAGAACCCAGAAATGGACCCTCAACTCTATGGTCAACTAATCTTCGACAAAGCAGGAAAGAATATCCAGTGGAAAAAGGACAGTCTCTTCAATAAATGGTACTGGGAAAACTGGACAGCCACATGTAGAAGAATAAAACGGGACCATTTTTTGGCACCATACACAAAGATAAACTCAAGATGGATGGAAGACCTTACTGTGAGACAGGAATCCATCAAAATCCTAGAGGAGAACACAGGCAGGAAGTTCTTCGACCTCAACCGCAGCGACTACTTGCTACATACATCTACAAAGGCGAGGGAGCAAAAGCAAAAATGAACTATTGCAACTTCATCAAGAGAAAAAGCTTCTGCACAGCAAAGGAAAAGGTCCGCAAAACTAAAAGGCAACCTACGGAATGGGAGAAGATATTTGCAAATGTCTTATCAGATGAATGGATAAAGAAGATGTGGTATATATATATATGTGTGTGTGTGTATGTGTGTGTATATATATACACATATATATATGTGTGTATATATACACACATATACACACAATGGACTATTACCCAGCCAACAGACAAGATGAATACTTACCATTTACATGCACACGGATGGAACTGGAGGGTATTATGCTGAGCGAAATAAGTCAATCCGAGAAAGTCAAATATCAAATGGTTTCACTCATATGTGCAATATAAGAAACAGGGCAGAGGACTGTAGGGGAAGGGAAGGAAAACAGAATGGGAAGTCATCAGCGATGGAGAAAAACCGTAAGAGACTCTTAACTCTAGCAAACAAACGGGAGGGTTGCTGGAGGGGTGGTGGGTGGGGGGATGGAGTAATTCGGTGATGGGCACTAAGGAGGGCATGTGATGTGATGAGCACTGGGTGTTATATGAAACTGACAAACTACTGAACACGACATCTGAATCTAATGATGTACTGTAAGTTGGCTAATTGAATTTACATTAAAAAAAGTAATAAATAAACCAAATGGAGTTGGTCTTCTGTTACACCCTGGAATGTCCTAAGTGGTATTCTGAGCGCATCAGTTCATTTCCATTTGCTTGATGAGTAAGCTGAAAGGGGTAGGGGGTTTGGGGGGGGAGGGGAGGGGGTGTGTGTGTGGGGGGGTGTGCACGCTCGTGTGTGTGTGTGTATGTGTATGTGATGTCACCCAGCTGGGTTCTGAGCTCCCAGAAGCAGACAGATAATATATCTTCTCTTCATATCCACTGACAAGGCTTACCGCTGCCTGGACTACAGTAGGTGCTAATCCTGTACAAACACGCCCCCCGCCATCTCCCACGTCCATATTCCCACATCCACAGACACCCATAAGGAAGCACATACCTACTGCTGCTCAAGGCAGCAGCTCAACACAGAAACACACCAAGTACTCACTAAGGGACACAACTTGCTACAGCCCAGACTGTCAAGGAAAACTGACCCACAGAGTTTTACAAGGCTGAACAGGCTGCGTTGTCTAAAACAGTGCTTTTCAAACAGTGGATTGTGACCCATCCGTGTCATAAAATCAGTGTAATAGTTTGCAAATCCCCGTCTTAGAAAATGCAGTCAGCTAGAGTAAACTAGAAAAAATCAGTATGCGTTACATACTGTACGAGTTAAAGACTGTTTCTGTGAAGTTGTTGAAGTGTGTGTTTGGGGTATAAGTGCCATGAAAAATCTGTTCTCTACACCAACAAAAAAAATAGACCCTTAAACACCGAGAGCAAACTGATGGTTGCCAGACGGAAAGGGGGGGGGCGAAATTGGTCAAAGGAATTCAGAGTTACAAGCTTCCACTTATATAAATAACTCACAAAGATGAAAAGTACAACATCCGGAATATAGTCCAAGAATATTGTCATAACAACTGTACCGTGACAGATGGTGACTATACTTAATCGTGGTGAGTGCTGAGTAATGAACAAACTTGTCGAATCACGATGCTGCACACCTGAAACTGACATAACATTGTACAGATCAACGAAACTTCCATAATGAAAAGAGAAAAAACTGTGTTCTCACTGTGGGTGGTTGGATGAGCACTGTCCTCACAGCCTTCATCTGGTGCCATCCAGTGGTAAAAGCCCTATCTGCAGTCGAGAAAGAACCACAGACCCGGGAGAAGAGTCCGCAAACATGGATGTCTGGTTGGAAGGGGCCTTCCAAATGACCTGGTCGACCCTGACATGCAGGGCAAGCACCCTTCAACAACACCGAGCTACTGCCTGAGCACGCCCCACCACGGAGGCACTCGCTCCCCCGCTGAGCAGCTCTACCTGCTGAAAAGCTGACCAAGCCGCCTTCCTCTAGGAGCTCCTCCCTGTCCTTCCTACTGCCCTCTCCTGGATGACAAGGAGCAGCTTCTGTGCTCGCCCTCAGTTTAACACTCTTGATCCAGTCAAGCAATACTTGTTGAGTGTCTGCTAAGTGCCAGGCACTGGGGATACAGTGGGGAACCCGGGAAGACACAGCGACAGAGACACAGAGAAGTCAGAGCTTATGCCAGATGAAGGACAACAGCATGGGGGCAGGAAGCGCCTCGGAATGTTCCAGTAGCAGAAGGTATACAGGGAGGTTGAAGAACAGCAGAGAAACAGGTGAAAGCTCAGAGATTTCTGGGCTGTATGTGTTTTCATTTCTCTCTGTTTTATAATTTTTCTAAACTAACCATAGGCCATATTTCATTCTAAGACACCATCAATTGTAAGACTGAAAAAAGAAAAAAGAAACACTGCCAGTTAGTCCATGTCTTTCTTATTGCTTACAATTCTCATTTCATGTTTATGAAAAAGCCCTTTTAGACTTTTGGGACAGAACAAAAGGGAAAGGATGAGTGACATGAGTTGGTCAAGTCTTCCCTTTCAGGAGATCTGTGAGTTGCCACACAACACTGACCTTCGAGCCGCCAAGGGCACTGGCGAGGCTGAGTTTCTGAAGAGATCGCCATCACCGGCTCTGAGATTGCTTTCCAAGCTCCCGACCCTCCAGGTGTAGGCTGTGTTCCTCTGTCTTTCTTGATCTCGTCAGAAGGTCTCAACGGATGGTTCTGGAATAGCAATCGGGATTTGCGCTCCTTCTTCAAATGGCCCTTAAATGGTACGTGGACCGAAGCAGCCAGGGGCTGCAGGTGCAGCGGTCCAGCCACGCCACGAGGAAGACCGAGCACGTCCACGTGCACAGATAATGACAACTCCAACATGGTGCACAGTGACTGCAGGACACATCAAGAGTGAATCTGGGCGCCTGGGTGGCGCAGTCTGTTGGGCAACCGAGTCCTGGCTGAGGCTCAGGTTGTGATCTCAGAGTCTTGACATGGAGCCCCACGTCTGGCTCCGCACTGGGCGTGCAGCCTGCTTGGGATCTTTCTCTCTCCCCTCCCCTCCCCTCCCTACCACCGTTCACATGTGTTCTCGCTCTCAAAAAGTTAAACAAATAAATAGATAAAATAAAACCCAAAGAATGAAAGATCTCTTTATTTATTTTTTCTTTATTGTGCTATGCTGGTCACCATACAGTACATCGGTTAGTTTTTCATGTAGTTGTTCCATGATTCATTGTTTGCGTATAACACCCAGGGCTCCATGCAATACGTGCCCTCCTTAATACCCATCACCGGGCTAACGCATCGCCCCACATCCCTCCCCTCTAACACCCTCTGTTTGCTTCTCAGAGTCCATAGTCTCTCATGGTTAGTCTCCCCCTCCGATCTCGCCCCCTTCATTTTTCCCTTCCTTCTCCTAAAGTCGTCCACGCAATTCCTTATGTTCCACAAGTAAGTAAAACCATATGATAAGTGACTTTCTCTGCTTGACTTAAGATGTCATATTTAGGGGCGCCTGGGTGGCTTAGTCGTTAAGTGTCTGCCTTCGACTCAGGTCATGATCCCAGGGTCCTGGGATCGAGGCCCGCGTCGGGCTCCCCGCTCAGCGGGAAGCCTGCTTCTCCCTCTCCCACTCCCCCTGCTTGTGTTCCCGCTCTCACTGTCTCTGTCAAAATAAAGAAATAAAATCTTTAAAGAAGGAAAAAAAAGATCCCATATTTAGAAAGACCTTTTCTCAGGGTTTATTCAATCCAGTGTTCCCTGCAATTTTCACTTCTTTTTAGTACCCAGGTCTGACGTGCTACCTAATATTTTCTTCTAACACACCCTGTAATAAATACCTATTAAAATGTAAAACTTCTATCTGGGTGCCACCTCAAGTCATCTCCCATTCCTCCCGTGGGAAACACTGATCTGCTGCAGCCACCAGTTCATTCAAGAAGCACTGACTGACTTGGCCCCTTCGGCAGGAGCGTCCCCTGCAACGGTGGGAACTTGCTAGGAAAGGTGTGACATGCCCTCCACCGGAGGGAATGGGAAGGGGCCCTCCCCGCTCTTCCAGCCAGTGAGGGTCCAGGCTGGGGCTGCTTCATTTCACTTCTCATCAACACTCATGAGTGCTGGCTACAATGCCAGGCATTATTCCACACGCTGGACAAACAGGAACACGTACAGCCCTCAGAAGCACCCTCTGTGGAAGGCACCGCTTACAGACAGAGGTCGAGGTTGTTTCCTCAAGCTGTGCAACCTCGGAGGAAACTTAATTCCATTGCTTTGCAAACCTACTTACCCACTTGGACTTCCATCCCTCCCCCAACACTTCAGTTGCTGATATGGTGTCGGTGTGTATGTGTGTCTGCTTCTGTAGGGATACACAGTGCATGTAGATAGATAGATAGATAGATAGATAGATAGATAGATAGATAGATAGATATGCGGTGCCCTGTATGTACATATATATGTACCTACAATGTATATATCTGCAATTGCAAGACTCAATCCAATACTCTCAGCATCGGTTTTCAAGTTGGGAATTTTAACTGCATGCTGCATACGGGCCTTGAAGATATGCTCTACCTCTCATTTTTTTTTTTTTTTTTTTTTTTTTTTTTTTTTTTTTTTTTTTTAAAGGTTTTATTTATTTATTTGAGAGAGAGAATGAGATAGAGAGAGCATGAGAGGGGGGAGGGTCAGAGGGAGAAGCAGACTCCCTGCTGAGCAGGGAGCCCGATGCGGGACTCGATCCCGGGACTCCAGGATCATGACCTGAGCCGAAGGCAGTCGCTTAACCAACTGAGCCACCCAGGCGCCCTCTACCTCTCATTTTTAATTTTATTGTTGTTCTTTTACGTCCTTTAGTCTCAGTTTTGGGTTCCTATTTCCTGTTGCGTTTATTCTTGCTTATAAATGGAAGGCAGGAAGCAAAGTCTTACGCGCAACAGACTTTGTACCTACACAGACTTTGAGTTTGTTTCCCTTCTTGTGAGCGCTGTTGCTTTCCTCAGCAGATCCGCAAGGCCTTAAGTGTTTAATCACCTAAGAAAAACAAAACAAAAACAAAAGACAAAAAAACACGAAAAACAGGGGTGCCTAGGCGGCTCAGGCGTTTAAGTGTCTGACGCTTGATTCGGCTCAGGTCATGACCTCAGGTTCCTGAGATCGAACCCCGTGTTCAGGCTCCACGCTCAGTGCAGATTCTGCTTGTCCCTCTCCCCCTGCCCCCCTCCACTCTGTCTCGCTCTCTCAAATAAATAAATAAATAAATAAATAAATAAATAAATAAATAAAATCTTAAAACAAAAAAACAAAAAACAACACTGGGCCTCAATTGACTAAGACTCACAGGCTATCATTTCCCCCCAAAGGAAGCTACTGCTATTGCTTTCTGGCTTCATCGAATTGCCAGTTACTTCACAAGGATCAATAGGATCTAAAATCTACTGTCTCTACTGCAAGGAGTCCCTGAACACTGGGCAAGACATGAACGGAAAAGGAACCAACATTGACCAGAGGGTGAATAAGGAGGAGAAGCCAATCAGAAATTTCCCACGGTACAATGTCTCATATCTGACTTAAACAAAAAAGAAAAAAGAAAAAAACAGTTAATAAAGAATACACTAATAAGATACCATGGATCTGAATAATGCTAAAGTACTTTTGGAAAAAATAAAACATTTAAGAACACGTATTCTGAATATTTTCTCCCAGTCTGTCTTGCCTCTTCGTTCTCTTAGTGTATCTATTTTTCCTTTCTAATTAGAACTTTTTGTGTTCTGCATACAAAACATTTGTCTACCTCAAGGTTGTCAAGACATTTTCCCATGTTTTCATACAAAAGTTTTACGGTTCTAGCTTTTTCCTTTTTTAAGATTTATTTATTTGAGAGAGAGCGCGCCCAGGGGGGAGCAGGAGAGGGAAAGAATCTCAAGCTGACTCCTCGCTTAGCGTGGAGCCTGACACAGGGTTCACACGGAGCTCAATCTCATGACCCCGAGATCATGACCTCAGCCAAAATCAAGAGTCGGACTCAAGCGACTGAGCCACCCAGGCGCCGCTGGTTCTCGCTTTCATATTTAGGCTTATGATTCATCCCAAATTAATGTGTGTATGTCAGAATGAGGGAGGGGTCAAGGTCCGTTTTCTTTCCGCCTGAATGTCCAGGTCACACAGAATTATTCATTAAAAAGACTTCCCTTTCCACCACTGAACTGACTGGACACTCTGGGCAAAAATCAGTCGACAGTACTTGCGTTTGGTCTATTTTTTGGACTCTCTGCTCTGCTCATTGATCTCTCTTTGTGTCAAAGACTTGGATTACTGTGGCTTTGCTCTAAGTCTTAAAATTAAGCAAGAAGAAGCAGTGTAAGTTCATCAACTGTGTTCTTCTTTTGAAGACTTTTTTGGCTATTCCAGACCCTTTGCATTTCCATATACATTTTAGAATCAACTTGTTCATTTCTTCTAAAAAACATGGCTAGGATTTAACTGGGATTGCACTGTTTGCATGAATCAAGGCGTGGAGAACAGAAATCTCCAGGACATCAAATCTTCCCCGATGTATGAACAAAACAGAGCTCCCATTTATTTCAGTCTTCTTGAATTCCTCTCAACAAAGTTTTTTACTTTTCTGTGTAAAGGTGTTTCATGTCTTTCATGAGACTTATTCCCAGCCAGTTTGGGGTTGTTTTGGTTGTTGTTTTTGTTGTGTAAGTAGGCTCCACACCCAGCATGGAGCCCAGTGCAGGGCTTGAACTCACAACCCTGAGTTTAAGACCTGAGCTGAGATCAAAACACAGATGATTCATCAACTGGGCCAGCCAGTCACCCCAACCAGTTTACGTGCTTTGATGCTACTCTAAGTATTTAAAATTTTTATTTTCCTATACATGTATTTTTAAAATACATCTGTATGACAAAGAATTCCTATTCAGAATATATAATAAACTCCAATAAGTCAAAACCAAAAACAACATTAACAACAAAAACGGGCAGAAGACTTGAACGTTCGACAGGTCACAAAAGATGTCGGAATGCCCAAGAAACACACGAAAAGGTGCCTAAGATCATGCTTCACCAGGGAAATGCAATGTGAAACCATAATGAGATGCTATTTCACCCTCACTGACAACACAGAATGTTCACGAGGATGCTGAGCAACTGGAGTGTTACTGTATTGCTGGTGGGAAGTGTAAACTGATAAACCACTTTGGAAATTAGTCTAGCAGTTCAATATATCCCTTCGCTGTGACTAAGCAATTCCACTAAGCAATTTCAAGAGAAATTTAAGACTGCTCTAAGAATGTTTATTGTAGCCTATTCACAATGACCAAAAAATTGGATACAACAACATGCCTGATCATCAGATGAACAGATGAAAAAATTGTGGTATATGCACACTACATACAAAGGACCACACCATTTTACACTCACAAAGACTCTCTCCTTAAGCAAACGCTAGCCTGACTCCTCTGAGCCCTCTTCTCAAAGGGGCCTCAACCTTGGCTTATCATATGCAGACTCGCCCAAACACTAACATACTTCCTAACAACAGCTCAAGACCCCACCCCTAGGGTGACTCCAGTCACCCTTAGTCCCTACTGAGAAAACTCAAGGCATCCATGGTTTGTTCAGCCAACAATGAAAAGTCTGGCCTCTGTCTCCCAGTGAGTAAATCCAGGGGGTTTCACGTTTCCCACTTTTTGTAATCTTTTACTTCTCTGATTTAA